ATTAAAAGCACCAGAGAAATACGTCATCCAATGCTTGTGAGCTTTCTCTGAACAGAACACTCACTGCTGTTTATGAAACCATTTAGAAGTCACTGAGAATCTTTTCATTTTCTATTTCCAGTGCCTGAGTGGGAGCTGAGCGCCAGCATCAATACATAATACTGAATTATTTTGGCCAAATAAATTGTATCTGAGAAATCTCAATGAGCGCAGATGAGACACTATTGTGATTGTGTATGTCTTGTGTGTGAAAACTGAATAATTGAAACAGGAAACAGCAACAGGAGGATGTCAAAATAATCCAACATCCTGTTAAGCCTCTGCAATGTCACAGATGAAATATAAACTCAAAGGAAGAGATATACTAAAACTGAATGAATGATGATCGCTACAAACAGGTACTTTTTACAGGAGACATTTTGACATCGTACCAGGAAAAGCACAGGTGTTACTAATAACATTAATTACATCTGGCATCGCTCACTGGGACACTTGGGACACTTAAATCTCTAATGGAGCCATTGTTAATTTTATCAGTCACACCTGTGCTTTTCCTGCTGAAACAAGTTCAAAGGTCTTCTATAAAAAAAAGTCCTATGATGCAGTCACCCTCTAGGCAAATTACGTCACCGTGGCTTAACCTGTAACTGCAGCACCCCCTAGTGCCTGTGAGACTAATTAAAGGTAACACTGATGCGATAAATCATTTCCCAGCTTTTGCTACATCTGAGATGTCATTCACAACTATGAACAAATGATAACGCAAGTAAATTAATAAATCTTGTGCTGACATTAATATAAATGTCAACACATATGAAGAAAAAGCATTAGATATCAAGAAAATACTGTAAATTTAGAGACAAATCTCTGCAGGTGATTCCTGGTACCAACACAATAAAAATACAATGTTTTGAAAAACTAACTAGGTTTTTATCTAAGAGACAGGAAGTCTTTGGGCTGTGTCTTGATTTTAAAACATTAGTCTTGCAATGACTCATATCTCATGTATCATTCATCTGAAATCAATTCCCTTCCACACTGTGCTATGAACTGCTTTCTTCTAATGGCCTGTTCCAATGCCCATGTGCACATTAAAACTTTTGCTTCTCTTTCCATTCTTCTACTTCTCACCTGTCATAATACTCAGAGCCCTCCTCCAGGCCAGGAAGCACACCAGTCAGTAGCCCCTGCAGGCCTGGTTTGAGAGTCTTTCCCAGGGGCAAGTAGTAGGTCTCATAGAGCCCCAGCAGCACAGGCTTCACAGACATAGCAGCGTTGGAGAGTAAAGGGAAGAGCCCAGAGCTGCAGCGAGGAAAAAAAGAGTGATGTCTGATACTAGCTGAAAGCTTTATTTCCAGCAAACTTGCAGCCACTGTACTACAGTTTTACCTATAAAGAAAGAGGTCTTTGGCCAGCCTCTTGGGTCCAATGATCTTGAAGATGATCTCGTAGGTCTCCAAGGCCTTGCGGTGGACCCCGCTGGGCAGGGCAGGGTGGAGGCATTGGGCCAGCCGTTTGCCTATCGTCAGCTTCTTGGGAACCACTTGGTATTTTGCATTATTTTGCAAAACCTTAGACAGGGTGTAAAAAACAGTGGACGTGAGGCAACAGTGCAAATACCAGGATTACGTATCTGTGCAATCCGCACAAGATATGACGTAATGCGTTCTCAGACATCCTCATGTCTCTTGTCATGATGTGGTAACTTACTCAAACAAAATGCTTGTTTTTTTGTGTATAATTAAACGTTTTTGAGATATGCAGTCATGAAAACTTCACATCTTTATTTTACAACCCATGCAGTTACAGTAGGCTGAATTACAGCAAAGTCTTAAAGTGGGACTTCAGTCTGTATATACATATGCATTTGTGTTTGCCTTCTGACTATAGGTCGTCTAGTGCAGCGTATGTCAAGCTGTGGTCCGTCTGAGCTCATTACCTTGTTGAGTTTGCCCAGTGCCGAGATGAGGTCTGCCCACTCACTGGAGTACTCAAAGTTCTTGAGGGCTTTGTCCACCGCTGCCACATAGTTCCTGTACTTGGAGTCACTGAGCAGCTCCACTTCCTCTGCATTCATTCTCCTTGGCGGGTTATTACGCTAATGTAAAACACCAGGCACACATCTGTACATCACACCTGCAATGAAAGAACACACACAAAAAGAGAAACGGAACAGAAGAAGATGAGAACAAGAAGATCAAAAATACATATTGCTTGTGAGTTATGCAAGCATGAAGATGATCAAACTTTAATCAATCAAGCCAGAGTCTATTAGTCAGTATGAGGTCCAACATCTGCCAGGGTGTCACCGGAGTCAAACCAGTCAGAAGGAGCAAAGGCTGACGTGAACAACCCTTCCTCCATTCGGAAATGACTCAAGATGAGGATTAGACGAGCCACACTACAGATTGGGAAAAGTCAAGTGACACTTTTGTGCTGAGCTTCGCCCACTAACCAAGACAACAGACTCTTTCATGGTAGACATTTTGACCCCTCACAGCAGGAAAGGTGGAACTGATATCATCAATGATGACTCACTACCAACTGAAGTGGCCCAGGAAACCATATCGCTGAGCCACCAAGCACACACTGCAGCTATTACTAATTAACGTTATTAATCACACCTGAGCTTCTCCTACAGTGACGCCTCAAAATGTCTGCCGTGAAAAGTGTCTATGGCAAATGGACATATAACGTTTGAGAAGCAGCGCTTGGAGTGGAAACAGGTGCCAGTACTCCCCATTCACCTGCTGCCGTGTGTACACTGACGAGCAACTTTATGAGAAGTTGAACCTGTCCGAACAAAAGGCACCCGAACTTTTCCCTTCTCTGTCTCCGCCGACAGGTTGGCGAGAACGGGAACAGGTGAGCGTCGCAGAGCGCCCACTGGGTAATGCAGTTTATTTAGAGCCATTTGTGATCTTGAGAGGGCAGAAAAGGAGTCCTGGCCCTCTTCAAGCTCTGTTACGAAGTAGTCTTAATACTTATTCAGCTGAGTGACTGAGGCAGTCGTGTAACTTGGTTCAAAATTCAGGAAAATATAACATTAAAGTTGTGTCAAAGTGAGAGAGTAGCTCGCGGCCGCTGGCAGTTTAGCTTTTACTGAGCTAACGTTAAGTTAGTTACGGGTGTAACGTTAAAGTGTCAACAACAGAGTAACGATAGAGCAGGTAACACACACACTGGACACCTACGTTAACGGTCAGTGGTGGGGAAATTAATATAAACGCATCTTTTAGCTAAGGAAAACACTTGTAACACCTTAATAACCGCGTCAACTTACTGCCGTTATAATGTGTGCGTGAGAAATGAACTGATCAAGTAACGATTTAACGCTAGCTAACAGCTAACGTTACCTTGTCACTAACGTTAGCTAACCTAGGTGAGGTGATGTCAGCTAACGAACATCGCATTTTATAACGTTAAATATTTAAGCTAACGTAAAAGCTTACCGTTTTAGGATATTGGCCAGCAACTGTCATTCAATCAAGTGCCCGGTTCGCCGAGTAAAGACGGCTGACAGCGTCAATAATATGCCTAGCAGGCTAGCTAACGTTGGGAGCAGGTTGTTTAAATGATGGAGAAACAGGGCCCGGCTCCGATGTCACCCGTTAATACGACCTCAGGTCTCTCGACAAGGAGGCTTTTAAAACAGATAATGGGGGATTATAATCTTGTTTCTCTTAGTGTGGTCGCGCAGTGTGTAAATAAACAGTGACCAGCGCATCAGTAGCTTCCTGTACCAGATACAAAGGGAGACGATTGACAGCTCCCAGACTGCACTGCAGATTAGCTGAGGACTGCTCCAATCTTCCGCCTCTCTGCTCTGTGAAGTCACCCACAGTTACAGCGAAGAATATCGAAAGTTAAGTGAGCTGCCTTCAATATAAAAGATACAATTTTATTTACTTTCCCATTTGAAAAATTCAATTTTGACTAAAGCAATTGCAGCGTCTTTGATGTGTTGTAATGTTTTACTAAAATGGTTCAACTGTTTAAAAAAAATAAATAAAAAAATAAAAAAATACTGGTACCTTCATTCTCAGCACAAGTACATTGTTATATGCATTAAAATATTTGTTATCAAAATAATAACAACAAATAATAGTAACAAAGTCGTTTTTCACTCATTTTGTTTGGCCTGAGCAGGGTTGGACCACCGGGGCCCCCAAAACTTTCGAGTTCACTAAATGTCAGTTGGTGTTGGTTATTTTAAATACCTGCACCACTGAAGTATTGTCTGAGGTCCGGCATTACTGGCTTATCTTACAGGGGCCTTGAGTCAAAATCTATTTGTAATTCATTATTTTAGTTGTATTCACATGGTGCATATTCCTAAATGGCTAACGGGTGCCGCAAATACACAAAACAAAAGTAGTCTGTATGTTTCAAAAGGAGGTCTGTCTTCTCACAAGCTGTCCATACACTTTTCTACCCTCTCCACCGGCAAAGACAGAGTATGGAAAAGGTCGAGTGACGATGCATACGCCAACATGTGAATGGGGAGTACTGGTCACAGTGCTGACAAAATAATGCTGGTAACCCTGGAGTGCTGGCTTGGTGGGCCCAGACTGCATAGGGCAGTCTGGAAAATAATAATAAAATCAAGAAAGTACCTAGTTTTATGTATCATGGGGTGGGTAATTACAACCCACCCCATCACGTGTTGCCTAAGAAAGTACATTTCAATCTAATAAGTCAAATAATCCTATCTAGTATAGATACTAAACAAAAAATGATCTTGGTCAAAAACTTTACTTTCTTACCTCAAAATCAGTTTTTTCTCTATATATTCTGAATGCACCTCTTTCCAGACTTGATAACCACCAAGTCTGATCGGGAAGGAATTAGGTGATCATGTCAGTATTTACCTAACTCCTATCTTATCTCTATTTGGTGGAATTGGTGTTGTTACAACTCTCCCTATGTTGCAACCACACCCGGACTCCCCTACTTTTATTTTTAAATGTGTGACCGGATGCGCTCTTCACACTATGGTGAACTTGACAGCGGCTGTATCGTCACGCTGCAGACAAGTATCGACCTCTGGATTGTGCTAAATCAGATAAATGTACTTTTGTGTTAGTTTTACTTTTAATACTGTGCTAATCAGAGTCACCAGGCTGCAGCGAGTACTGATTAGTACGTGATTTCTTTTTATTCTGTCTGAACATTGCGCTGCCTCAATGGCAGACTTGGAGTTTACATCCCAAACACATGGAGTCGGCGTCTTCATAGAGCTGAGAAAGAGGCTTCAGAGTGGACTGCTTATTGTCGGGTAATTATTTTGATAGATAGCAAACGGTTACAGTTAAGTAACGTTATTCTGTTAAGTGCTATTATTCAATTTCTTGGCAAGTTATACAAGCTAGGCTAGCTAAGAGCATTAGCTAACTTAGCCCGATAAATGCACAACGGTGGAGGTCTGCCTGCAGAGATAAGTTAGATAAATGTGTACTGATGCTGCAGTTTCTCAACAGATAAGTTGCTAAATGTTATGCCTGTTGTTTCAGTGACATGTTCAAAACTCCAATGTTAGCTAACTATTGTTATGAAACTGTTTTCGCCACATTGTTTCATGCCAGTTTTGTTGAACACTTTGCAGTCTCATCAGGTAACAACTCTTACCATATTTCTAATATGAATATGTCCACGATCCTCAAAGACTCTGTCTCTACATTTCTTTTTTATACAGTCTATGATCTTGACAGTAGAAAAATAGTCTCTCGGTGACATAAAGCTTTAATATGTTTGTAAAGTTCTGTCTCTACCTCGACCCCAAAAGATGGCAAATTAAATGATTTGTCATATTTTGTATTTCCAAGGAATATCACAGATGTATAAAATAGACTACACGCCAGGCATGCAAACTGTTCTTGTCTGTATACTTAAGGTTTTGTTTCCAGAAAACTGTGGTTTCTGTGCATTGTATATGTAAACATTTTAGAAAAGTAGCAAATTGCTCCATGAAGAGAGTCAGTGGTGGGAAGTAAGCAAAGTGCATTGACTTGACTCTGTACTTCAGTACAATTTTGAAGTGCGTGTACTTATTTGAGTATTTACATTGAATGTTACCTTGTACTTCTACTCCTGCATCTCAAAGGAAACATTTCATGCCACTATATGAATTTGACAGCCATAGTTAGTTACTTTTCAGGTTTTCCACGCAAAACATCAAATCCTTTTATACAATGCCTTATTTTAGATTAAATTACGCAACAGTATTAAGTTGTTGAATTACAAATTTAAAGTGCTATAAATTATCTTAATGTAATTTTATAACTATTTTATTTTTAGTGCATTAGGTACAATTTGGGCTGATGTACATTAAATGTATATTAACGCCAGCATCTTCCAAGGTCATATAATGCATTGTACCCAGTGTGTCCGTGCTTCACACACTCAGAAGTATAAGTAAAGGCATACCTAAATAAGGATAATTATTTTTATTATTTATAAGTTCCTACTCTTAAAAAAATATATCTAGTGTGTGTTTGTAAAACACATGGTAAACTTTGTCTTTGAAAAGGGCCAAATCAAAAAAGGAAATTTCATATTATTATAATTACAATTAATTATACATGTGTAATATAGCAGCAAAGCGCTGGTCTCTGTTTCATGTAGTACATCTCTAACATCACTAGATGGGGTTAATGAGATTTGAAAGGGAGTAAAGAGAGCCCTGCTTCTCTCCCCGTCTCCCAAAGTAGTCAATGCTCTGTGGTGATTGACTTGAAAATAGACCTGGGGACTTAAAAGTCCCTGGTACTCTTGGCCTAAAAGCGCCTTTTGTACCCAACTACATTTTACCCAACTAATACAGGGCTGAAAGTTATGTGAAGACTAGTAGAGCTGAAGTTGAACATTTCTCCTATAAAGGAGATGCAATAAGGCAGCCAGACATTCAGAGTACAACTATACATGGTCAATGTTAATAGTGCCATAAGAAAAACATAATATACTTACAAAATATGTAATATGATAAACTCCATTGGAGTGATTCCCTATATAACCAGAGAAAGTGCTTAGCCTGCATCCAGGTTGTTCAGCAAGGTTAATAGTGCTTCTCTGTTAATGGTGTTGATGAACTTAGACATTATTCAGTGCTTCCTTTATCAGAGACAGCTGCAGCCAGCAGAAGGAAGAGGTGCTATTTATGATTGTAGTAGTATTATTAATTATAGGTCTTTAGTTTACTGGGCCCATTTCTGCAGAGAACAGTCACTGCACACTTATTTATACTATGATCTTTCCACCCACGGTTCTTGACAGAGAAAACAACAGTTTTCCTGCACCTTAGACTGTATATAAATATACATGTATTATTTACATATTTATTAATAAGAATGAAGTTCTGCACTAAAGACTGACTCATTAATCTCTGTATTGAAACATTGACTAATTACACATCCTCCTGAATCAATATTTGTATGATTTGATGTTGCCAAGTTTTGGGGATATTGTTCTTTTTTTTGTTCACTTATTATGCATCAAGTAGTATGAACAGACTATGAAATGATCCAGCCTCCTTTTGTTGAGAGGTTGTAATACTTAAGAGAGAGGGATACGAAGACCAATACCACTCTTGTGTCTGTCCGTTCAGCAGCTGGCTGTAGTCTTATATGCTCATAAAGACTGGAAATAGGACCAAACAGCTAGTGTGGTTCTGTTCGAAGATAACAAAATCCGCCTACCAGCAACTCTAATTTGTAATTTAACGAGGGGTTGTTGCTGGCAGCAAGTTGTGGTTTTACAGGGGTAATGTGGATGACTTTGTCTTGGCCTGTTACTACAGGATCCAGGCTAGGTGTTTCCAGTCTTTATGCTAAGCTAAGCTAACCATCTCCTGGCTAGTTTCATATGTAGCATACAGATATCAGAGTAGCGCTGGATGATATGGCCAAAAATGTTATCACGATAAAAGTTTCATATCTTTCGATATCGATAATTATCACGCTAAGTATCAAATCGTTATTTCTTTGGAGTTTAAAGGCAGATTTTTGCTTCTGGGTGACACTTGAGGCCAAACAGTGGATCACTTCACAAATCTGAGGTGGGACATTCAAAACAATTATGATAAAATCTTTTTCAACAAATAGGCATGATTTCAGTTCTTTTTCCTCAACAAAATAAACATCTTAATAAATAAAATAAAAAATCGTAGTTCGTGTGTTCGTATGATTCAAGTAAATAAAATCAAACATTTATTGAACATTTGTTATTATTGAAAAAATTATATCGTGATAATTATTGTTTTACATCAGAGGTACTGATCTTCTCATCTAACTCTAGGCAAGGGAAAGGCAAATCAGCATGTTTCTTCTATTTCTTGGGTGGGTTCCTTTAAACCTCTGTGTGTAAAGTGTCCGCTCGCATCTGCTCTCCAGGAAAGATGTGGCCAGAAGTCCTGCAGACGTGGTCGTGACTGGTGGAGATTCCTCTCTCTTAATCCGGACTCCCAGAGGCGAGCTGAGCCTGACTTTGCCAGCAGGAGTGACCTTCGAGCAGGGATCCTGCATTCCGACACCTGCAGGAGAATCCTGCAGAGAGGAGCTACATTTCAGACTGCGCATCAGTGTCGCACGAAGGACAGACGAAGGTAATTTCGAGGAGAACACATGCAGACACATGCAACCTCCCCTTGCTCCACTAGACTCTTCTGTGCCAGGGCAAGAACAACGTCTTTGCTGGCTATTTAGAGCTGGCTGTCTATTCTGAATTAATTGGATTGAGTCACTTGGTCATTTGAGACAGTGAAGGTGTAAATTTTGCTCTCAGGATCCTCAATGGGCCACAAGCAACTGAACGTCAGAGTCGTGAGAATACTCCCTTAAGTTTTGGGTTGATCTCCTATCATCAAAGAGTACCCCGGAGTCATTGCATAATACCCCAAAACTCCATCTTTTGGCCTTCCCTGAGATTTTTTTTGTCACTCCTCGCACAAGAGGAAAGTGAAGCTGAGGACTGTCATTGTCAAATCCAATCAAAACCAGAATGATTGCCTGCTACCTAGCCAAGCCAGCTTCCCCACCCAGTATATTATCGATTTTGTACTCCGTAGTACAAGGTTACCGCCCTTTCACCAAATCTGGAAAATTTATTTATTCGTCTTTGGCCCTCCACAGAGACGTCTGACAGCGTGATGGAGACACTCCGGGCAAAAGAGACTTATTGCTTCTGCTGCCAGGGCTGCACGACCAGGCTGCTGGAGGACAGGTGAGGGGCAGACGGACGAGGAAGAGCATCAGTGGGCGTTTATTGATGGCGTGACCCAGCAGTAGAAGTGATAGTCTGGGGGGGGGACTTGATGGATGGAGCTGGAGCGCAGTCCACAGTTGTCAACCTGACTGAGTTAGAGTTATAGAGTCGGTGTGACGTAAAGGTCTACCTATAAAAAACAATTGTTTCTTACCTTGCGGTGGTTCAGCTGGACAGTGGTATTGTTGTTATTGCCTTAAGTGTGTAGCTTTCTATGGTCAGCAATGTGACATGCTGAAAATTGCAGTAGCTGCATTACCCAGACCCTTGGCCTCTGGCTATGTTTCCCAGCAATAACCTACTAAAAGTATTTTTTGCTCTCAACAAGGGCTGGGGAAAGTAAAAATGTCAGAAGTGTGTGGAGCAAGTAAAGGTTATAATTTCAACAACATTATGCTTTGTAGCAATATGTGGCTGCTTAGCGGTTTTAATACTACCATTAATGGAAACCTCACAAAGTCTCCTCTACCAGATTTTTTTATTTAGCCTAAAACGGTGCATACTAAAAGCTCTATAAAAAGCACTATATAAATGTAAGTGGTGGTATGTTATTAGATATTGTGGACAATAATACAAAGAAAACTGGTAATTGTTTTGATTCCCCCCCTTTCTTCTTCAGAGTGTTTAAGCGAGTGCTTCCTCTCCCTAATGGCAACTGGAACGCTATCGTGGACGACTGGTGTTGCCACCCAGATCCGTTCGCTAAGAAGCTGCTGCCCCGAACAGAGGATTGTTTACTGGGCGACACCTTCCTCCTCCTATCTAGAGATAGTAGCTGTGAACAGACTCTCACAGAGGAAGTGAGCCCTGTTGGCTCAGAGGACAGTCAAGATCCAAAGGTGAGGGACGTGCAAAGAAAAACAGCCAGTGTGCTCATTTTATTCTTAGAAGGAAGACAAAACCTTTAAACCGGCAATTCAGAGAGTTTGTTTTAGACAAATAAGCCTGGATGAAAGAATGATTACTATGGTTGGCCAATAGATTGTAAGAATTATATCAATAAAAACATCAGCCCTAGCTGCAGTGAAGGAGAAAGCGGTGAAAGCACTAAATGGTCAGTATCAGATTTTTTTTAAATAAAAGGCAAACATTGTATTGAAAGTTGTATCATACAGTATACTCACCCACACAGACACACACTCCTCAGACGGCTGCGTCAGTGAGTCAAACTCTAGCACTCCGTAGATGAGGATTAATCTCCCTTTCCCTCTATTACTCATTCTCTGTACGGGTGGCCCTCTTTGCAGTGATGAGAAATGGAAACGGAGGCAGATACAAAGAGCAGGAAAACAAATGAATGATGATCTGCCTGCCGTGTATATCTCTGTCTCTCTTCTACCTCTTCTGTCTTCCATCATGGTTATAGTGGCTATTGATTGCGGTTTGTAAACAGCTGAGCTAAAGATGGCCGTGCGTTGTGGTTTTTTTACTTTTTGTTGCGGACAGAAACCCTGCCGTCGTCTGGCACTCGTCTCCTGCAAGAGCTGTTCATCGGTGCTGGGAGAGGCTGTCGCACCAGGTATAAATCACTGACAGATTTTCCTAAATAATCATCATTATTCTATCGTGTAAATGAGCCTTTCTCCATTGTATCTTACAGAGACCCTGAAACTGTACATCACACAGGTGGTGGTGGAGCCCGCTGTGGGAGACAGACAGCCAGAAGCTTCACTTAACAGGCAGGTTTTTATCCAGGCTTCTCTTGGTGAAAGTTAGGAAACTGTAGCTGTTAAAGCATATGCAGTCCTTCTGGGCTTACCATTGTGACTATAAAGCGGGTCATTTGTGAGCATGAGACTGACGTAGTCTCACCTGATATCTTGACACACAACTGATTCCAGCACTGATTAAATATTTGAAAAAGAATGACATTGTTAAAATTGTCTGATTTAAACATAGAAAAATACGCATGACCATAAGAAGTAGCATGTTTTTCCATAACTTTATCTTGGAGATGTTTGGTTAAAGTGAAAGTTAATATACTCTGTGGACTACATCTGTAAAATGAATGAATGTTGTCATTTTTTGACAGACCTCTTTTCCTGGAGAGGGTTATAGCAGCCAGGCTGCTGGGGCTGTCCAACTCTATGAGCACCTTCCACTTCTCTGTCCAGACTCCTGATGGGAAGGCTTTCTTATTGGTAAGAACAAGCCGGCATAATCACAGAAACCCATGACATTTGAGTAAAAATAGAATCCTCAGTCATTTGATAAACGGGGAAAGCGTGATGTGGCAGGTTCTTCAAATGACAAGTGGCTTGACTGTGATTCTAGTGTTGTTGAGCGCACTGACAGGCTTTTAGCTTCTTTAAAATCAGCTACAAGTGGATAATTACCAGTGGCAGGAACAGGAACACACCTCTGCAATAAAAAGAATTGGAATTGTCCAAAAAGCCAATAATTCAGGACCAGAATTGTTTTTTATGTAGAGCAAGTTTGAGTGTAAAATGTTTAGTGATTGACTGACGTGGTTTATATTCCAATATTGATATTATTTTAACTGAAGCTGGCAGGTGTTTGTTTTAAATTTTTTATTTTTTTTTTGCTCGTATACATGTCGCACCATTTGCATAACATAAAATGTCCAAAGTATTCCAGTTTTCCACAATTGTGTTTTTGTCATGCTTTAAACTGTAGGACATTAAAACTCCTCACTAAAACTGTTTTTAGTAATAAAAATATAATTAACCCTTATGTGAACTGGGACCAAAGTGGACCAAATTATTTAATGTACATAAACTCAAATAAAATAAAAAAAACCTGCGTCATATCAGAGATGGATGACATGCTATTTAAGCTGTGTGTTTTATTGGAACTTCCTCATAGCAGTATGAGGAAAAATAATAGTAATAATTGTAAAATCAACACTTTTTTAAATTGTTCTTACCCTCTGACCTCATTAAAGTCCAATATATAGAACAGTATTAAATTACTTCCATTTGCCACAAACTGATTCAGAAGTAACAAAAACATGCACAGAATGTTATACAGACCTTTGAACAAACTCTTATAAAACTCCAAAAATGGATATCAAAACAGAAACTGCGGGATTTGGTAGAGGTATTGCTGTATGTAAAGTGTAGTCACAGATATATGGCATAGGAAAAAACACATTTTCACAGCTAAAAAAATGATTTCCTGTAGAGGATTTTAAGTTTTGTAGAATTAGGGAAAGTCATGAAGTCTAAAAGTGATAAAAGAATATTAAGTGTGTTTATTGAGCGACCCAAAGGAAAATATGAGGGTCATTAAAAGCACATTATCGTCCCAAAGTATCACTCTAATCCCGGCGTGCATGAGTGGATTCACAGAGTTCATGTGAGTGTGATACCTTCGCCGGCATGACATCTGGCATGTGTATCTCAAGTGTTAAGTAACCTGTCCGCTCCTCCTGTAGCTCTGGCTGCTGAACAGCGACTCCATCGTGGCGTCAGTCCCAGAGACATGTGTCGGGGGCGAGGGGTCTATCGGCTCCTCTTCTCTTCAAACTCCATCAAGCAGAGCCCTGAAACTCCTCTACACCGTCTGCTCTGACACAGGCATCCAGCAGAGAGAGTAAGCGAGGGCACTTACCACATTCCCCCAACCCCCCCTCTCTTCAGTCTTTGTTTTCCTATTCCTAATCTTATCCTTTCATCTTTCAAACACATCCTCTCAATCACCACCTGTCTTGGCGCACTGCGAGGGATAAAAGACTACTTTGTTGGTGAACAGATTTTACGTCTTAATAGAACACTTTGCGCAAGGATCCCTGCTCAGACATAATTGTCTGTTATTTAGCGAATGAGATCGACATCAAAGTTGTTGTCAGTTGTGTAAGCCACACTCGTCCTTGTTGCACATACAGGGGATGTTGTTTAGACTGAAGCGAGGCTCTGTGTACCTTGCTGTGATGCATCAGAGAGGTGTAGGTGGATGTGCTGCTGTGGTTATCTGTGTTCAGCACAGCAGCACCCCACTGGAGAGGCCTTCCTCCCTCATTATTTTCACCTGAATCAGCACTCTGCTTTTCTCCGTCCTCCTCCTCTTCCCTGCAGCCGTGCAGAGCGAAGGCAGCAAAGGGAGGTTTTGTTGTTTGAACCATTTTTGACAGCCCCACTGGCTGACAGACAGAGAAAGGGTAATTAGAGGCAAAAGGAAAGGAGCAAGGCTTGTATTCTTAGTCAAAGCAGTAAGAGTGTATTATAAAGACATGATAAACCGTATGAGCTGGGAGAAACTGTTTCACCCTAGGTGCATGCTGGGTACCAAGGGAGATGACACCCTTGTAAAGCGAGCCATGACAGCAACTTTTAACTGGAGCACTGCTCTTTTTTTCTGAATAAGAATTAACACCTCTGAGTTTTAGCTTTTCACTTATTGTATCAATTATTTCAGACAGCAGATGTAATTTTAACCCCTGCCAGAAATAAAACAAAACAAACATCTGCTCTTCCACAGTCATTACCTTTTTGGCCTTAGAGTTGGTGATTGTTACAGCCGGACTTTTTTAGAGCAATACGGAATTGATATTTGAGTGTTACAAAATCTGACGGTGTGTCAGCCAGATTCATATTTTTACATGAACACAAGATACATAAACATTTTTGATAAAGATCCCCAAAATGTGTATTTTCAAAGAATCGATATCAAGATAGGTACTGAGCTGGATATTTTACACATGAAAAATTAACTTTTCACTGCTCTCTGGTGGACAAACTATGTAATGGTGACACTGTTTCTAAATGACAGTCAGCTGAAAATTAGCGAGACAGTGACTGATGATCAGAATCAGAAGAATCAGAATCAGAAGGAGATTTATGGCCAAGTAGTGTTTTACACATACGAGGAATTTGCTTTGGTGATAAGGTGCTACACGTAGACAAACGTACAGTTGACATAAATAAATGTAGAAATATATAAACATGGAATAGACAATGCAAGTTATATAAATATAAAAAATTAATTTAGAAAAATAATACAACTCAAGAAAGAACGTCACAGATATTTACATGTGCATTATTTTGGGTTTGTGTTGTGCAGACGTATTGCAATGAAAAATATAAATTGGCAATAAAAATATACAACAAAGATTAACAATTAACAACAAATATGTGCAATGTGCCAGGTTTGTGCATGATATGAAATGAAATAGTATTTACATGTGCAGAGACATTTATACCAAAAAGCGGAATTGTAGCCCGTCTGCGACGAGTATTATTAGGGTTAGAAATAAATGGCAGTAATCTGAGATTTCGAGAAATAGAAAGAGGGGGGGGGGAAAGTTGTATTATATGACAATCAAGTCATAATAGAAGAGGTTGCCTCGAGTCATATGTGCATGCACCCCCTGCTTAATGTGTTCCCTCCAATGTTGAAAAGAAATCACTCAGAGATCACTCATCTCTGACATTTTAAATTAAATGTTATGCCTGGGGAGCTGAATTCCCTGGATGGTGGCCCTCTTATTTGGGGATACAGTCAGTTACGGTCGACTGCAGCTAGAGGTTGCAGAATGTGTTGTTAAAACTGCCAATAATTTACTGGAGAATCAGTGAGCCAATGCCTTTGTGGATTATGCTTGTCACTAATGACAGTGACTTGATTATGTGTTAAGCGAAAGTCGCTGGCACCCTCACAGTCCAGCACAAGGGGAATCGGGTCTCATGGATATGGAATTGGAGTCTTATGTATGTTTCCGTAGAATCTAATTCTGATATGAGTAATCAAACTTTGGTGTAGATGGCATTAACTACGTTCACATGCACAGTGAATTGTGATGTTGACTGGTTTGGGTCAATATGTACACAGCATAACTTGATTAGATTTTCTGTGTAAACAGCTTAACCTGATTAAGACACCATTTGTTGAGAGGCTAATTTTTCATGCATGTAAACATAGCAGTAGTGTTTCTTCAGTGTGATGTCTTAAGTAGAGCTGGCTAAACTTTGAGGAGACTTTTCCCTCTCAGGAGCTGCACAGATGGCTAAATGTCACCTAAACAAACAGCACCACACACTGACAGAGAGCATCAATCTTACTTCTCTTAATCACTCTTCCTCTTCTCCTTTCAGTCCCCTCTTCTTCTCATCTCAAACACCGATATAAATTGATGCTACACACAACATCAATCCACTTTTATGTATACCTAGTTATGTAGTTCGGTTTACAGTTAAAACAACTTAATTAAAACATCAGGACAAATGCTTCAACGTGGGATTTACAGCAGCTATTCTTGGTTGTGTATTGCTGTGTCAGTCATTATAAATCACTCTTACTGTGTTTTCAGCATCGTTACAAGTTGGGAGGTCAATGCCATAGGACATCCTGTGGTACTGCCGCTGAAGGTGTGCGAGGAGCTGCTGCAAGTGATGGATGACAGCAACTCTACTCTTCCTGCATCTATGCGTTGCATGAGGTCCTATGAGGTGAGACAGTTACTGTGTACCCTAACGGGCAACAGATGATGACAAAGTCAGTTTCGATCCTTGGCGTAGCCTCATATTTTTTTAATATCTGTAAAATGTTTACCCTGATAGTGTGTGATATAAGCAGAGAGAAAGAGCAGAAAGTTTTTTTGTTGAGCAGCTCAGTGTGGATTTTTTTTTTTTTTAGCTTATTTCACTTACTTATTACTTACAGCACCTTTTTCCATTATTCATTGCTTGACAGTGTTTTCTGCCCCGCCTTCATTAATTTCATGATTCAGAGCTTTCAGTTAACAGCTTCGCTTTAGGGATTATGTGGGTCAAATGTAATGTATTACTTTTGTCCGCCTTATTCCAGCTTCTATACACCTGTAATGGTGCGAAATGTGTATATTTAGCCCGCGTTGCCAAGGAAAACCCTTTGACTAGAAAATAGGAGGTGTTAACTTTGCTGACAGCTCTATTCTCCTAAGCCCTTTTAAACATAGTGACAGGGGTAATTAGCATCATTATCCTCCACTTCCTGCTTAGAAAGTTTAAGAAGTGATTTGGTACCACTTAAACAAGTTTTCCATCTGCTAAAAAATAGCTGGAGTAATATACGGTGAGCAAATCTTTGCGAATGAAATCTGCTGTTGTACATCATGTGAAGAATCATTTGTAAGCCTAGGCAGGGGGTCCACGTGAAGGCAGGGGGTGTTCACTTGAAGGCTTGGAGTCTTTCTTAATTTAAAGGGACTGGAGTAATGCATGTAGAAAGAATGCTTGGATGTGGGGAAAAATAACAAAGTAAGTGAGAGACTCAGCATTTAAAGAGTTTGGAGGACAGAATCTTGTTCTAGCATTTGCAAAACCAGGAAAAGTGGACAAATGAAAGTGAAATGCATTAAACTGTGTTTTTCTGCTCTAATTTAAGCCGCAATTGTTAGCATGTCCTGGCTAACTACAGTAGTAACTTAGCATCACCTTTAAGGCCTAGAGTTTGCTTATCCTTAACTAACTACTTACATTTGTGGGAGTAACATAAATGTAAATGCTCCGTATTTGTATAGCGCCAATCTAGTCTTTTCGACCACTTTTACACTACATCTGCATTCACCATTCACACACACTCATTCATACACTGAGCCTAAGTGCTCAAACAGAAACTAACATTCACACATTCATACACTGGCAGAACAGCCGCCCCCGTTACATTACATACCCTTCAATAACAATCGTTAGTCCTCATCCTCAAAGAAAAATATGAACAGGTATGAAGCTAATATTAGCTCAGTTAGCTAGCTACAGCTAATAAAATGTGCCAGCAACAGTTGCCATTTCAGGTGTCAGTTGTCTGCTAGAAATGCATTTTTTGTTTACCTCTGTCAGAAGTTAAAAAAAGACTGAATTTTGATCGGTAAAACTGCCGGTAATAATAATGTGGTGATAAGCAGTACTGTTTTCTGAGATAACTACATGACGGCGGTGGGCACGGGGGAGAAATTAGGCTCTACTGAAATGGAGATGGCTACATATAGACGAACCAGACAGGACACTGTATCTGTCTGGTGGTGGATGTGGTTACAGCTGTAAAGAGAGTGTAATAAATTGACACACTTGAACACATCCTAAAAGCTTGTGCTATAGGCAGCAGAGGACAGGAAGGTAATGTGATCGAGGGGCCATCTAGTGTTACCGCAGATGATCTCAGAGCATCAGTCCCTGTTTAAAACACTGTTTGTAAACTACTTTGGTGCCCAGAGTGTCAGAAGAGAGGGACCAGCATGCAGTGGGGTGGCAGTCTGGAAGCTTAATATGATCTGAAGAGTTGCATCTGTTAGAGTCGATGAGATGGAGATGCGAGAGAGAAAGGGGAACACAGGGTGGGTGCTGTTAGCTGTGGTTTTTCTACTGTTTGCTTTCAAAGGCTCAAGTGAACAAAAGCCTCCTTGAGATGAACAATTACCATTCACAATCACTTCTGCCTCATTTTAAAGGAATATTTTATATTGTGTGCTTTTGGTCAGTATTTTTAATGGCAAAGATAACATAACATTGTTGTAATTCAGTTCAGTTTTATTTATATAGCGCCAGTTCATAACAGAAGTTATCTCATCGCACTTTTCATATAGAGCAGGTCTAGACTGTACTTTATAATAATTTACAGAAACCCAACAATTCCCATCATGAGCAAGCACTTGGCACTTGAGCAGAACCTAGGTGGGCTAACTGCTCCTACCGGTTGGGTTGAGAGGGAGGGGGGAGACAGAGATCGAGAGATTTGGGGGTCCATACCAAACAAACATATTTTCTTACAACAAGATTTTTAGGCCAGTGCATCTCTGCAGCACTACAATACTTGATTATAATGCTTTGCTGTCATACATTTTAGATTCATTAAAAATTTTCTTCTGCTTTTATTTCTTTTTATACTTTTATTGCTCTATATTTCACTTGGCCATGTTGCAAATTCCATAATATTTCGATTAATATGTCAGTATGGACATGCTACACATCGTTAGATTGGTTAGATTCTCCACAATTGAATAGTTCAGTTCATTTAACGGAAACAACAAGCCCCAAAGTCTAATTCATATAAATTTACTAGTGTATGTAGTGATGGGAAAAGTCACTCTTCTGAAAGACTCGAGTCACCAAATCTCGTTCATTATAATTAACTAATCTTTTTACTAAAACCTTTTACTAAACTGGGCTGGTTATTGCGGCGCTGCAGTCCTCTAGTGGGCGATTTTAAAACAAAAAAAAACAGCGCAGTTCTCAAACATGGAAGGCTGCCTGGAATTGACGAAGTATAATGCACAAATTCACCTCTTGATCTTTCTGTATCATGGTTCTATAAAGCCCAATGGAGCCACAACCAAATACAAAACATGTAAAAACCACAGAAATGTTGTCAATATTCAATTAAGCCACTACTCCGGCTAAATCAATCCATTTTCACAATTTTTCCTGAGTTTACAACCACACCAGCCATATATGTGTGTGTATAATTACTATCATTATATCTCTAAAGTGCTCATTCATACAGTAGCCTAACGTATCCAGTGAAATGTATATATTAACATCAGATTTGCAGGGAATATATTGAAGTAATAAGCTTGACACACTAGATGAATAAAACACACTCTTATTAAAATTTAACAAATTTAATAATAATCTCAAACACTGCAGGTTCACCAGTGAGGAGCGGTGAAACAGCACGGCTCTGACGATAAATAAAAAAGTAAAGGAGCCATGTGAGCGCTGAATGATTAGTTAATTCCTGCTCCACAGTAAATAAGCGGTCACGTGAAAAATGAATGACTCAAACCCAGAGACCCACAGTTGAGTCGTGAACTAATCAATTCTGTTTCCTGTGCTGACGGAGACCTTGCAGCTGCTGTGTAACGAGTGAACGTAAGAGACTATGGGTATATTTATTTTCATTACGTTGCTGCCTATAAAATAAAAGTGCATCATCCTCAGTCGGAGCTAGATCAAATGAATGACATATTTGATATTATAGTAATAATCAAACAGTTTGAAATAAATAAAGTGTTTCATAGTAGCCTATTTCAGTTTTGTGCTAGAGGAATTAAAGGCCTGTCCCAAATATAGGCAGGGTCAAATAAATAAATGAGCACAAGCACAGGTGTAATTAATAACATTAACAACAACTGTATCCCATTTAGGTGAGCCAGTTCCAGGGTCCTTATTGTTATGACCTGGCTCAAAAGGCCACAACAAAAGGGAGACGCACCATGGTAAACGGTTAACATATGTTTATTTAACAAAAATAAGCCAAATCAAGTTATTTCAAATTAACATAATTAAATAAGTATGAGGTATGTGGTCTGTGGTTTCAGTAGTGTCTGTGCAGGATGATGGTTGCATGAATGTATGTGTGAAGGTGTTGTAATATGCAAAAACAAGATAAATACCACAAAGCAATAGTCCAACCAAAGAAAAACAAACTATAGGGGAAACCAGGGAGCCGTCCCACAGGGAGGTCTGACCTGGCCTCCACAGCAGTTACCTGCAGAATGAGAGAGCAAGGTTACAAATAGCCTACCCTTAAGACACAGGGCCCAGGTGCTTTCAGTTAACACAATCAGCTCTTGAGCTACAAGAGAGAGGGGGGGGTGGAGACCACACCCACTCATGACTCCACAGGGCATCACACTTATATCGTGCATCCTGGCTCATTGTCACACTGTCATGGCGTTCTGGGCCACCTGAATAGAACAGAGCCATCCTTAAGGTGATTAGTAACGCCTGTGCTTTTCCTACCGTGATGTCAACATGTCTGCCGTAGAAGGAGTACTACAACTTGAACAGCTGTAAAATATATAGCCCCTACATGTTGAAAAGACAACATCATCATCATAATAATACATTTTATTTGTAATGCACTTTACATTTAAATCAAATCTCAAAGTGCTATCCCATTCCCAAACCCTACAACCCAACCCATCTGTAAGAGCACTAACCAGAGTTTGCAGGCTTGGAATGGGGTGTGTGTGTCTTTTGTTTAATTCCAGCCCCGTGAGTTGATCAAAGCCTGCACCATAACCCAGCCTGTAATTATGCTGCATGTGGAATGTCTAGTAGGCTGCCGTGTTCCCTGCCCTCCCTCCCCGGGCCTGCCAGTGTAATGGGCTGTAAAGTGGCTCAAGCTCCAAGTGTCACTCCTGAGCCCGGGAACAGACAACCACCCCCCACCCCCCGCCTCATTAATCTCCTCCTCACTCCCACAGAGACGGCATGTAGGTTAGACAGAAACTGAATGCAGGGTTTTACAATGAAGAACTGACGGGATGTATCGATCATACGTTGCCTCAGTCTTTCTGTAGTCCACAAAGCTTTCCACCTGGAGCGGCTGCACTTTGTCGAAGTAAATTACTTCCCTGAAGATGCACACGTCCCGATTCATTGCACGTGGACCAGTGGGTAAGAAGAGGAATTTATCAACAGAGCAGGGGGTCTGTGATGCTGCTCTTCCTCAGCTTGATAGCTTGACGATATAAATGAGGCTGATGCTGACATTTTAGGTTTTTAACAGTCTTCTCCACTGCCTCTTTGTACACCGTGACCTATGGAAGAAACACTGTCATTGTGTGAGTCTGCATGTTTATATGTAGATTCATCTAAATGCAATGACAATAAACAAAACACTACCCTACATATCCTGTATGTTTTAATTATCTCCTCCAGGAAAGCTTGGATGGGATCGCGTGTGCGTCCGCGCGCATGTGCGTGCATGTATCTGCACGCCGCTAATCTCGCATTCTACTGGACCCATCAGTCTAATATTGTTTGTGCACATATCTGATGGTATGTATGCTCAAGGACCTCTTGTGGTTGCGGTGATTCACTTTTATTTTTTTATTTTTATTTTTTGATTGCTCTGTTTTATACCGCCATTGACTGACGACTCCTCTTAACCAGCTGGTAGGGGTCGCATGCAATCGCATGTTTCAGTTTGGAATCTTGTTTCTGCTAGACTAGTGATGGGTGGATGAAGTCTTTTGATGTTTTTGGGGCTTTCTTTTTATTTGTAACGAAAAACATTCAAAGTTTCGGAGCTTCAAGCATACACCACTTAGCAGCCACACCTCGCCAATATTAATAGTTTTTGTCTCGTACTTTTGATCAGAAGTACTGCTTTTAAATATAGATGTTGTGCAAAAAGATGCTGTTGATTGTGAGTGCACCTGTTTGGTGTAGTTTAGTCCGAGTGCCACTGTGGGCTCATGTGTTTTAACTGGTTGATAGTTGCATTAAATGTGAGTCTTAATTAGCCTATTATTTTCATTACTTCGTATCAGGAGGAAATGCCCTCTCACTTATGTCTCTCTAATTTCTCTATTATTTTCCTTTGTTCTTATCCCACTAATGTGCCGATTACAGAGTTTGGGTGGAAAACTTTCAAAACTGCCAAACTGAATAAAGCACTTTGCAAAACACAAGTGACGTTTGAAGCTTCAGACGTCATCAGTCACGTCATAGTCTCCATTTGATACGAGTTCCCGCACAATGTACTGAAACGGTGCGCTTCACAGGAGTAAAAAAAGCTTCAGAGCTTCAGTATCATCCACCCATCTGTTTGCTTGAAGTGTTGGTGGATTGTTTTGTTGGCGTTTTCTTTTTGAAATTGTCCCTGCATAAATTACATCAGTAGAGACTAAATGGCATGAAATGACATGTCAAGAGCAAAAAAGGACGTTTTGATAACGGTCTTCAGGCTTTGGCAGTGAGGGTTTATATTTCACTCTGCTAAAGCTCAAACAAATTTCAGTGAGATCAGAAAATACCCTTAAGTGTATTATCATCACGGGTTCTGGGCAGACCTGCTGTCAGCATCACTATCGGTTTAAAGACCTTCTTTGTGTAATCTTAATACTGTTAAATGCAAACTATCTGAGAACCTTTATTGTGTGACTTCTCATAATATAAACAGTTGATTCCAAAAACGTCAAATGTATTTGTACCATGAGCAAGTGGAAGGTGGTGCTCACTGTAGAGCTGAGTTGGGTGATCATTCTCTGTAGGGTTTTTCTGTAAGAGCGAACCCTTTCACCATTTACACGTAGTCATGTGATCCATTGTTAATGTAAACATATTGATAATAGCAGCTATAAAGCCTTGGAAACAAATTTTATCAATACAGTTACAGACTTTAATTTTGCGCTTGCCTTTCTATCTGCTTTGAACTGGGCAAGTCTCAGTTACCAGAAAGGTGATACACATATTTCTGCGCTCCGGAGTTTTAATTAAAATGTGATGACATTTGGGGGGCTGTTTGCTTATGTTGCCAGGCTACTGTCAATCAAATCCGTTTCAACTACACACACACACACACACACACACACACACACACACACACACACACACACACACACACACACACACACAGCCCTTTATAGAGTGTTGCTGATCTTAAGTGATAACTAAACTCTTAATAAATATTAACTAAGAATGTTTTTTGGTTATTTTGTTATAGATACCACTTTAGATTTTAAGGGCTTTAAGCAAGAGCTAATTCAGTGTTCCAGCATCTGTCTACTTGAGTTTCATATGTTCACTCTTTGGGTCTGCCCAGTGCAGCCACAGCTGTAGTGTTGGCCTCTGTACAGCTCCAGTTTTGTGCCGGTGTCAACGGCTACATGTCAACAAAGAGGAGCACAATATCTGCTTTCCCTAGCCTCTCCCAGCTTCACCCAAGCAACCCTCCAATCACGAGCCAGCTTCTCTCCTCCATCTAGACTCCCACTGCTCTGCTTCCTTATCACGCTTTGTCTTCTTTTTTCTGGGGGCTCAGAGTTGTGTTAGGAGCAGCTCACCTCTTGTTGCCGTTTATCGTTTGTATGAATTACCACTGATGCGCTTGAGTGGGGAGCAGACATCGGCATGGGGATGGAGAAGACAGGGCCTTGAGTGAGGCAAATGCCCTCATTCATCATCCCAATATAGAGCCCTCTGTGGAGCGCAACCATTGTCTGCAGCAGGCAAACACCCAGGAATAGCAGATGGAGGAAGAGAGAGGACAGTGCTGGGCTGATTGTTATTTTGTGCTTTTGTTTTTCTGCGTGTGTTTTCAAAGTTGATTAAATCTCTACCACCTGTGGTTTTTTTGTTGTTTGATGACAGTAATTGCAGATAATGTGTTGCTGTGCTGATCAGCAGACCGTAGAGATCCAGTACATCTGTGCTTTGGGGAACAAAAATCCACATTGTACAGTACAAACTGGTGTTTTCTTAAATGCTAATGTGAATCTATTTTAATTTTATTCTCAAGTGTCAGAAGTTTAACTTTCTGAGCTTTACCTAAACTTTTGCTTGTTGTTTACAGGTGGCGTACCTGAGACTGTGAGGCCAAAGTTCAGATGCCAGGAGGTCAAGACTTCACCCGTCACTCTTGGTAGAGAATTCAAGAGGACCTTGGGACAGCTGAGAGAGGAACTCTGGTGTACATGTACGATATGTCTGTATGTGTTAATGTGACATCTCGCACAGATTTCCAGTAAGTATAAGAAAGAAGATTACTGCAGAAGAAAATGCAGTAAGCAGGGAATGGCTTGTTAAGTCAAGTTGTGGTTTCTGGCTAGTTTTGGCAGCGTGTTGTCTCCTGCAAACAGATTCATGTTGAAACAGGTTGCTGCCAGGTTTCTAAATGACAACATCAACATTTTCATAGAATAGATAGTTACATCTCATTCATTGTAGCTCATTATAGTCCCAATGTATACTTGTATTTAAAAGTATCATAATGGTTGAAAGGCCTGTGTGTGTACATTCCTAAACTTCATTATGTATTTTTTTTCTACCATTCTTGTCAAAACCAGATTAAACTCTTTTATATATGGAAGTATCACCTCTTCGTTTCTTTTTTTTCTTTCTGTCTGCTGTAGAACAGTGCTGGTTGATATGTGGGACATCGTTTTTAAGTTGGCTCTTGATGAAAGCTTATTATAGAGGCACTTCAGCCCCAGGGCACAGCAGTGCATCCTCCACTTGAGTATACTGTAATTACAGCTTGTGGAGCTAGGTTTTTGTGTAGTTGTGGGTTTCTGTGTGAGTCTGTGTTAGTGATTGATATTTATGTAACATGTGCAGAAGTGAGAAACATTGTGACAATGTATGTTTAAACTCCGAAATGGGCCTTTTAATTATGAAACATTATACACTATTCAGTGACTTCATCGTGACAAGGGCTGGTCAGGTAGCATTTACAGTATGTCACAATATGCTTTAGCCACAGTAGTGGATGGCAATATCTCAACAGTTATTGGATGTACCGCCATCAAATTTGTATACAGGCATTCAGAGATCCCAGGGGATGAATCCTATTTACTTTTGTGATGCCCTTGATTTCCCTAAAGCACCACCATTAAGTTGACATTTTAAGTTCTGAGTGAAATGGCTCCATAACTATCAAATGGATTGCCATGAAAGTTGCTACAGACATTCATGGTCCTTACGGGCTGATTCTGTTCATTTCGGTGATCCCGTGACTTTTCATCTAGTGCTGCCGTTAGGTCACAGTTACTATTCCAGGGGAAGTTCTTAATATATGTCGAGCGCATTAAAGCAAGATTTTTAAAAACATTCATGGTTCCCAGATGATGCATCCGACTGACTTCTGAGATACTCTTTTCTGATAAGATACCTGTAAAACTGACATTCCCATCAGCCTCAACTGTACTTTAGTACCAAGTGGCAAACATTAGCATGCTAACACACTAAACTAAGATAATGAACATGTTCCACATTATACCTGCGAAACATCAGCATGTTGGCATTATCAATGTGAACATGTTGGCATGCTGACCTTAACATTTATCTCAGAGCACGGGTGTGCAGTACAGCCCCAGAGTTGCTGTAGACTCTTGTTTCTTTGTAAAATAAAGATTTTTAAAAAATAATGGGATGTATTTTATGATGTGTGGATAAATGGGACATTTGAAAGCTTTGGCTTTTTTTGTAAATCAAGGTGAGACCATTGTAATTGTGTTAATCAGCAAACTTTCCTGCAGAGTTCAGTCAGTTGAGTAAAGCAAAATGTTCAATGATGCTGATCAGAACGCTGGTGCTGGTGATGTCTACACCTCTACTTCATGGCTTATGAACATGGCATACAGTCTCCATAGGTTATCTCTGACCAGCAAGGCAGTATATGTGTCTCCATGTCTATTTTTACAAGCTCTAGAGACAGGGGGCAGTTTTTTCTGCTCCTAACTGCATGCCTGGATCTGCTGAATGCTGATGCGGCAAGTGACAATTACTTTAAAAAATACAAAGAATTGTGCCCACTGAGGCAGCAAAGCAGAGAGAATTGGCTAATTAAATACATCCAATGCTAAACCGTCAAGGGGTTCTCATTTCCTTTCTGCCCTTTCTCCACAAGTGCAAATGAAGCAGGCTCTAAATAACCCATTTGTTTCAAGCTCGCTGAGCTGAAGGAGCTACTCCACATAACTGTCTGCGGCTGCTGTTTTGAACACACCAATAAACCCAGAAGCCTTGAGGAGTTTCAGGCGCTCTTTGTCTTTCTCCCCTTGATAGACAATGGAAGTGTCAAATTAAAAGTTTTTTGGCCAGCACACCGTCATGTGTTGACACTGTGTGGCTCATTAGCCTTTTCAGACAGACATGAAAAATATCAGTCTGAACAAAAGTCTACTCCATATTCAGCCTTAGTAATTATTTGTCCGTGGTTTGAGGAAAGTTTTTGCTTGGTCTTCTTTTAACTGTTTACAGTAGGTATAAGGAAAAGGGACATTATATTTATGTGTTTCAGATTTCCTGTGAGAGCAGCAGCATCCTGTGGGATAGTGCTGCATCTTTGGACAGACATCTTTGACATGACAAAAACTTATGACCCTTATCTTGGTGGATTTCATGTTTGTCCGTATAATAAATAAATATTGGATGGCCACTTAGCTTGAAAGATGGTTAAACAAAATTCTATTACACTTGGGCTTATGAAAACATTTCAGAGCCTGTTTGATAACCTTAACTAAACTAATAACACCAAAGCCACTAAAAAGGTATCTCCAAAGTTGAGGCAGTTCATCCTGAGGGGCACATAAATGCCTGTAAGTTTCAGGGCAGTTCATACAATAGCTGTCGAGACATTTCCCCCAGAACTCCCTGCTTCCTCTGTGACTTCTCGCCCATGGAGATAAATGTCCATTAAAACCACACATGACATCACACATATGGAGTGATCAAGTCTTCATGCACCACAGTATGAATTTCAAATTGGATTTTCCAGGCCTTTGCCTTTGCTAATGTGTTTGATATTATTTTCAGATTAAGCGAGACAGCGATGTGTGACATTATAACGTGGCCGCTGTAGAAAGAAAGAGACCCTTCTTGGGAGAGGTCAAGCCATAAAGCTTGTCTCATCTCTGAGAGGAAATGAGGCATTAGATTGAGTTCCCGTTTTAGTCACCCAAGCCTAATGGGTCATCTATCCTGAGGATCTTGGAGTCATTCTGCGAGAGAGGGATCACAGAATCTTTGCTCTTTTCCTTTTTTCCTGAGTTGCTACGAAGGTGAGAAGACAAAAACAACATTGAAGTCAACTTTGTTATTTCCATAGTTTTCATGGGATTGCACAGGTGTTATGGTCTGTTCTTGGATTTGGATTTCATCTGTTTATTGTATCCATTTAATTCATTGCTTTTACACTTGAGAAGCCAAACACCTCCAATAAAGGGCTGAACTGAGTTTCAGAAGGAAAATACATTACCTTATAAGATGTCCCTGAATGACTTTCCATTGTAAAACTATGCACAAACCATTGTTAGATATCAATGCAAAGAAATTTAATTCTTGAGTTGAAAGCCTTTTTATTGGTCCCTTTGTTCCAGATTGAGTTATCTCAACAACTATTGGATGGATTGCAGTGTAATTTTTTACACATTGCCTCCCAGAGGATGAATTCTAATGATTGTGGTGATCCTGTGAGTTTTTTCTCTAGGGTCTCTAACAAGCTTGACATTCTTTGTTTATTCTTTGTCTTCTGGATGGATTGTCATAAAACTTGGTTGACATTAATGGTTCCCAGATAATGTATCTTGATGACTGGTGATTCCCTGACTTTTTCTCTATATTATGTTTCTGATTGAAATGTCTTTTAGAGGGATTGCCATGAAATTTGGTACCTTCACCCTCAAGAAGTATTACTAGTACTAACTTCCCATCAGCCTCAGCTGTACTTTGTGTTCCGTGATAATTAGCAAATGTTTGCATGTGAGCACGCTAGCTCTAGCATGTCTGCATGTTAGCATGGTCATTGTGAGAATGATACTATAAGTTAGCATTTAGCTCAAAACACTGCTTTGCCCAAAAAACGAACATCCTCAAAGAGCTGCTAACATGGCTGTAGACACTGTTTCACTGTTATCTTAATTCCAAAGTCGTACTGTCTTCCCCTCTAGCGTTGCCTAATTGCCCAATAACTTTAACAACCACCCCACCCCCATGATACCTCAGCCTTACTCTACCTCGGCAACTCCCCCATCTTGGCTTTCTAACAAGGCCATGGGGCATATCAGTGGGGCCTTCAGGGGCTCATTAGTTTGTCCATTGGTTTCAACAAGCCTCAGTGGCAACCTTGGAGCAAACCCTAGCCTTCAAACAGAGACAGGCCACAGAGTCAACCTGCTCCTGGGGAAGAATGACACAGCTGCCTCAGCGAGCACAAGGCAAAAAACAATTGAAAACAAACATCCAGAAAGCACTTTTGGAACTTATAATGCTTGTGACAGCGCAATGACAGACAGAAAACTGCTTACTGTCATGAGTGGCTAATCCAGCGTGAGAATGCAGTATGTGAGAATGAAACTTGTCAACTGCATCATCAGCATTTCTGTTGTTTAGGTTGCTGAACACACATCAGCTTTTGATTTCCAAATGTGATGTAAAACCTCATTTCTGACTTTGGAAAGAAAGTGTGGTGGTAGTTGGACAGACAGATACGGACTGAGTTGAAAGCTCTGGTCTGAAAGGCAGGAGACATTTTGAGCTGACAGCTGACAGAGGAGATGGAAGCCCTGTTGGAAGTGGGGTGTCAGGATGCTGTTTCTGCCGCTGCTGCAGCTTGATATCTCCTCCAGCCCGAGGGAACATGAATCGGCTGCTGCTTCTGAGTCTAGAGATGGAGGAGCTTTTCCCTCACTGTCGAGGGGGGGGGGCAAAATGCTTATCAGCGGTTGTGTTCAGCATGTATTATGGAAAAATAAGCAGTTAGCTTTCCTGTAGCTGCTTCATTCTGCTGTGTCCCATGAATGAGATGACAGCTATATGGACTGCTGTACTGATGCTTCAGGGGGATCTAAATGAGGGATGGATAGAATTGGGAACAGGAAGAGACAAGGAGGGGGATCTCAATGACAGGGCATCTGTCAGCACTCACGGCTAAGACAAATGGTTCAATCTACCCAAACTTATGTCTCCTCTGCATGCCTCATGGGTGTATCCACTGCAGCTGTGGTGCGGCTATTGCCATTTTGAACCTTCGGATGAAAAGCAAAGTATTTTCTTGTGGGAATATCAAGCAACAGATAATCTGTATGTTTCGGTTGTAGCAGTAGAGGTTAAGTAGATCTTCACAAAGGTGCATTGGCCGGTTGTTCACTACAACTACAATGACCTGAGCATTGTGTTCGAAATGCCCAGATCAAAACAAGACTAAAGGTGTGTTCAGACAGAAACTGAAACACATTTTCTGCAGAGTATCTGTTAATTTTCCCCAAACTGCCAATGGACCTTCCAGACATTAGCTGTAACCTAGCTAGAAACGGACTGTGTGTAGCGTCCTTTATGAAACTGATTCATAAAGCCCTGGGATAAGTTCTTAGC